GCAATCACCTGACGCAATCACCTGACGCAATCACCTGATGCAATCACCTGATGCAATCACCTGATGCAATCACCTGATGCAATCACCTGATGCAATCACCTGATGCAGCACAATTGTCCGCTCCGTTGGCTGAACTGGCTTTGGGCGCTTGTGGTCCTCCCACACTCCCTCTGCCACTCTGCTCCACGGCTCCAGGGAGTGGGGAAGAAGTGGTGCCGGGCAACAGACAAATTCAGAAAGAGGTGGGGGGTGGGGGGCAGGGGAAGACAAAGAGAAATGGATGAGTGGGGATGGACTAGTGTGGTGTAACAGAGGAGGCATGGAGTAGGAGACCAAGGGAAAGGAGTGGTGTGGGGCGAGCATGGAGAAAGGTAGACATCAACGTGCAGCGCGAGTGACATGCATGCACTTGCCTTCATCTGCTTTGCCTCCCACCTGGTCCGCATGACAAACGCCTCCCACCTGGTGCGCATCACAAACGCCTCCACGCCTCTGTGGTCCAGCACCGTGCGCGACACCCACCGCCCCGCCTGCTCTCCACACACATGCAAGCCAGGCGCACGCATGCACAATTGCAAGCAAAACCACACACATGCATGCCACACACATGCATACGCACAGGATTCATGCACATTAGAAGTCTTACAACCACAACGAAGGCATCAGGACAGTCTCATGGCCGTCTCCCTTCGCCCTCCCGGCCCGCTAGCCCCTCTGTTGTTTTCACCTGAGGGCGGTGCTGAGCCAGGGCAGCGCAGAGCATGGCCCCACGGTCATCAGAGGTGCACACAGGCACGGCGCGCAGCAGGAAGGGCGCAGCTGTAGCAGGGGCCAGCGACACGCCCACCTGCAGCCCTGCCTGCCCCGCCGGACATCCCACACTGCCCTCTGCCCTGCCTCCGCCCCCACCCACCCTCTCCACGCCCCCCTCTTCTGCTGCCCTCGCCGCCAAGCCACTGCTCCCTGCGGCGGCTGTGCTGGCTGCAGTGAGAGGGGCTGTGGCAGCGGCATAGGCAGCGGGGGTGCAGCCTGGGGGGGCGAGGGGCAGCAGGCAGTGGAGCAGCAGCGAGGGGTGCTGCAGCAGGCGGTGCCACGTGAGCACCGCTGACCCCAGCTCGCGGGGTGCGGGGGGGAGCAGCCAGGGCAGCAGCGAGGAGAGCAGCGAGGGCGAGTGGGCGTGCAGACTCAGCCGCAGCCCCTCCGAGGCCACCTCCGCCTGCAGTGAGAAGCGGTGGCGCCAGCGCGGTGGGGGGGCTGCCGGATGGAAGGGCAGCGCGGGCGTGCGGGTGGAGAAGGAGGGGGCAGCGTGGAGGGCGGAGAGGGAGACGGAGAGGCAGTCAGGGGCGGGCAGCAGCAGCCCTCTCACGGTCCACACGGTCACCTCCACGTCCACTGTGCTGCGCTGCCACAGCCCCAGCCCTGCATTCGCCTCACCCGCACTCACACACCCCGCCACTGCCATGCGCCGCACCTTTTCCCCCTGCTCGCCTGTGCCCTCGCTTCCCACACTCTCCTTGTCCGCATCTGCTTTCTTGCTACTCCTCAACTGCTGCTCCATGTGCTGCCGCTGCTGCTGCCTCTCCACATCTGCCCCTGCGGCGCTGTCTGAACGGCACTGGGTGCGTGCCCATGAGCCCTCCTGCTCGCCTGCCCCCTCTGCCGTTGCCTGCTGCTCGTGGCCCACAGCTGCCCTGCCCATGCGCATGGCCGGTGGCAGGGAGCTTGCACGAGCAGGGGGCACGCCCTGGCGGTGCGTGGCCCCTGCGCGCGCAAAGGGCACGGCGAAGGTGCGCTCCCACAGCAGTGCCGTCGCCCTGTGCGCCGCCTCCATGCACCGAGGCCCCGGCGAGGGCAGGCCCGCCAGGGCGCAGGGTGAGCAGGCGAGGGCGGCGGGAGGGAGGGCGGGTGTGGGCGAGAGGGAGTTGTGGTGCGCGATGAGGCGACCTGCCAGGTGGTGGCAGTCCGTGGCGTAGGCGCGTGCACACATCTGGGGCGATGGGGGGGGGAGGAGGGGGGCAGGGGAGTGGGGGAGGGGGCGGGCAGTGTAGCGGTGAGGAGGAGGTGAGAGGAGAGGTGGTGAGGCAAGAGCAGGGGTCATGAGCATGTGTGCATGCCATGACTCCATAAAAATGCAAACTAGCAGGATATGTTCCATGTGCACATGCTACCATGTGCGCATGCTACCATGTGCGCATGCTACCATGTGCGCATGCTACCATGTGCGCATGCTACCATGTGCGCATGCCACCATGTGCACATGCTACCATGTGCGCATGCTACCATGTGCGCATGCTACCATGTGCGCATGCTACCATGTGCGCATGCTACCATGTGCGTATGCTACCATGTGCGCATGCTAGTTAGTATGCTACCATGTCAGCGTGCTATCATGTGTGTTTGTTACCATGTGGGCATGCCAGATCAGGTCGATGTCACAGGTGGGTGTGAGGGGCGTCGCTGGGTTGGCCTTCAAGAGGCAGAGGAACATGTGGTAGCGCTGCACTGACCCCCTCAGGTATGCCGCTTGCACCATCCATGGCCGGTCCACCTGCCACCACCACACATGACCCATGCCCCATGCACCACACACCATGCACCATGAATCATGCAACATGCGGAAATGGGTTGGGATGGAGACAAGTGAGAGGAGGGCAACTGTCAGGTGAGCCAGCATGAGTTCTCGTTCACCACGGCACCACCTCTCACAGCACACGGCACCACCTCTCACAGCACACGGCACCACCTCTCACAGCACACGGCACCACCTCTCACAGCACACGGCACCACCCTTCTCTCGTATCACGAGTGAGCGCCCCTCACCTGGAGGAAGAGCCCTCTCTGTCGCAGCACAGCAGCCCTCAGGTCGTACTGCACGTGCTGCCCCTCTCCTGCACCCTCTGCCGCCTCTCTGCTTTCCACCCCTGCGCCTGCCAGCACCTCCACCGCGCCCGGTTCTCTGGAGGCCTCTGCCGCCCTGCTGCCTCTCAGAGAGCCCTCTGACGCGCCTGCAGGCTCACCACCAGACTCCGCGCCCCTCCCCTCGCCTCTCCGCCCCTCCACACATGCTAGGCTGCACCTTGCTCCTGCGCCTTCATTGCAACACCGAGGGCCCTCCCCGAGGCTCCCCCTCTCTTCCCCCGCCGGTCCCCCTTGCGCCTCCCCTCTGCCTTCATTCCCCCGCCCGCACTGCGTGCTCTCCCTCGCACCGTCATCGTCAGCATCGCCAACCCCCCCGCCGTGCTGTGACCTGCCGGCTCTGCGAGGCTCGCACAGGTCGTAGGGCTCGTGAGGGAACAGCCTGTCCCACACCCGCCGCGCCGCTGCCTCTGCTGCCTCCCTCCCGCCCCCGCTGCTGCTGCTGCTGCTGCAGGCAGCATGATTGGTAGCAGGGTGGTGAGAGGGGTCACACTCACTTGTGTCAAAGACTGCTTGCTCCACCACTCGACCCACCCTGGCCCCGCACTCCCTGCTGTACGCCTCCTGCTCCCATCGCCCATTCATGCGTTTTCAATGCACACACACACACACGTGCGCACGTGCACGCACACGCACACACATACACACACACACACACACACACACACAAACACACACATGCGAAGGAGAGCGTGTACTGAGGTGTTCAGGGAGGCAGGGCGAGAAACACAGGCAAGGTACTGCACATGTTTGGCAGTGGGATGGGAAGGCAGCGGCAAGCAGATTCATGCGATGCAGTGAAGGATGGGAGTAAAGGGGGGGATGATAGAGAGCACATGGCAACACATCAGGCCGATCGGGAACTTCGCATCACCTGCAGCAGCATTCAGTCAGTCCAGGAGTAGCGCGGCTGCATGGCAGCACGGGCAGCACGGGCAGCACGGGCAGCACAGGCGGAACGGGCAGCATGGGCAGCCAAGCAACTCAAGGACATACGGGGTTGAGGCGGTGGCAGAGCCAAACCCATTCCACGTCAATGGGCGGCAGCAGGCGGCACATTTCGTCGTCACTCAGCCGCCCAGCCAGCTGCAGCCAGCACCGCTCGTACCTGCTCCCGTGGGGGGAGGGGCGCACGTGGGGGGGACGTGGCACGCAGAGGATGAGAGCAGGGAGCGACGCAGCGGGGCAAGGCGACGCGACGCAGAGGGGCACGGCGACGCACATTCAGCGGAGGGCACACGAGTTTGCTGAAAGGGGATGAGGGGCGGGCAGCAGGATGGCGTGCCTGCGGATGGCGGTATCGAGGGCGGGCCCCTCGTCGCACAGCCCGCCGTGCGCCTGCACCCGCCGCAGCAGCGCCATCAGGTGCCGCGCCGCCGCCGCCACGTCCGCCGTCACGCGCACCGCCTCCACGGCGCGCCACGCCCGCGCCACCTCCGCCTCGTCCTCCTCCTCCTCCGCCAGTAGCGGCCACTCCGCCGCCATCGCCGCGAGGGAAACCGGTGACAGCGTGAGGGGTAAAATGTTGTGGCGGTGTGCGCGAGGGAGTGGAAGGTGTGCGGAGGTTCAAGGCGCGGCGGAGGGTCAAGGCGCGGAGGGTCAAGGCGCCGGTGGGACGACCATCGTCGAAGATTAGCGCTCCTAGCGACCTCCGTCAAACCTCCGTGCGCTGCGCTGAACAATGCGCGCGCGACGAGCAATCTGCGCGCGGTGTATTCTCAGCAGTGTCGGTGAATGCGGCACCGAGGCGCTTCTAGTGAGTGTCAGAGCGAAGAAATTGGGGTGTAAGGAACGGCAATGGCACAAGTCGTGCTGGAGAAGCGGTGTAGTGTGGTGCTTCGGAGTGAGAGGAGCTTAAAACAGCACACTTTGCTACACTACCGTTCTGTGTGACAAAGTGAAGAGCAGCATGTTCTTTCGGGTAGCTTTGCAGGACATATACTGAACCCAGTGGGCAACCATTACAAATGATATGCAATTATACATTCAATAAGATATGCTCTTCACGAGCAAGATAAGGCACACCAAAAAATGGCAAGGGACAAGTGGGTTGGCGAAGAGGGAGTGGAAGCGTTGGGATGGGATCAGAGGCGGGAGGTGATGGCCTTGCGCAGGCGGTCCTCCTCCGTCTCCACGTGGCAGCGCTTGATGTCCGCCACGCGCGTGCAGCCGGCGAGGGCGAGGGCGAGCTCAAACTCGTCCTTGAGGATGCCCAGCAGCTTCTCCACCCCCGCCTGCCCGTCCACCGCCAGCGCGAATGGCACCGGCCGCCCCACCTGGTGGGCATGAGCCATGGGGGGGGGATGGGCATGGGCGGATGGGAGGCAGGCATGAGAGGCGAGGCAGGAGAGGAACGGTATGGGAGGCCAGGCTGTACCAGACAGTGAGAATGGCACGAGACTAGAACAGCCCCTCAAACACTGAACGAACCAAGGTAGGGGCAACATGTGGAAGCAGCTGCGACTGAAGGGCAAGGCATTGAGGAGGCAGTGGCATGTGGGGTAGGGGAGGGCAACGTACGAAGACACCCGCGGCACCAAGGGCAAGCGCCTTGAGAACATCGGTGCCGCGCCGCACCCCACCGTCCAGAAACACCGGCACCCGCCCTCGCGCTGCCTTCACCACCTGCCACACCACTCGGTGGGGGAAAGAAGGGGGGGGTTGGGGAAGGGACGGGGAGGGGAGGTGGTGGTGAGGGGAAGGTGGTGGTGAGAAGGTGGTGCTGACGGGGATTTGGCGGGGAAGGGGATATGGTGGGGAAGGGGATATGGTGGGGAAGGGGATATGGTGGGGAAGGGGATATGGTGGGGAGGGTGTTTGCAGTGTGTGGAGCATCACGCATGAACTTGACAGGCGTTGGGGCGAACACGAGGGGAACGAAATCAATGCAGGCAGAACGGCATAGATGTTGCCACTCGCAGTGCCGACAGGCGGGGTACTGCATAGATGCAATGGGTGTGGTGTGGGTGCGAGCATGGGTGTGGGAGTAGGAGCGAGAGTGTGTGGCAGGCATGGGGGGCGCTGCGCACCTCCTCGAGGGCGCAGATGGTGGCGGAGACGTAGTCCAGCTGGCGCGCGCCGTGGTTGGACACTATTATGCCCGCCGCCCCGTACTCTATCGATATCTCCGCTGCTCGCCACCGTGCCGGGTGGAGGGATGAACAAGGACGGGTGGAAGAAGGGTTAGGATGAGCCGTGCAGGGAGCAACTTGGGGAAACCAGATGTGACTTGCTGTGAGCAGTATGAGCTACCCTCCGCTGTAATCACGGGCTTGACTTGACTCACCATCCTCTGCTGTGATGACGCCCTTGACGAGAATGGGCAGCGATGTGATGGACTTGAGCCATGCGATGTCCTGTAGGCGCACACATGCATGCACATGCACACACACACGCACACACACATGTACGTACAGACATGCGCATGCACACATGCACATTCACACACGCGCACGCAATGTGCACGGGCACACACATGCACCACACAATCATTGGAGACAAGTGGCGGAAAGAAGGGGTGAAAGAGGGGGGGAATGGGGAGTCGGAGGGAAGAAATGAAGGATCGTTGAGGTTGGAGTCTGGCAGAGAAGAGGAGAATGGAGCACGCAGCGGCAACTGACGGAAGGTCGTACAGCAGGCACCCATACACCCACATTCAAGCAGCACACACCACACTCGCCACGCACCCCACACACAGCACGCACACGGCACGGTGAGAGCAGGGGCGCTCACCTTCCAGCTGAGCGAGCGGTCGATCTGACCCGCCACGTACGACGACAGCCCCGACTCCTGTGACTGATGCGCGCCCGCCGTGACACGTGGTGGTAGGCAGTGACGGAGAGGGTAGAGGAGAGAACGTGGAGTGAGTGAAGGGCAACGAGCATTGCTGTGCTGGTCAACGGTGCAACGACGCTCATTTTATCACAACGCAACTAATTGTATGCTGCCTTCCCATGCCGCCATACCTTGTCCATACTGCCGAGGTTCAGTCCTTCGAAGTTCTTCAGAGTGAGGTGAGGTGGCAGCACGAACCTGCCACGCGCACCACCATGCCATGCCAAGCCATGAGTCAGTCACGATGGCCCCAATCCATGCCATGAAAACAGTGACCAACAGCAGCCACAATCCCTACAATACGCCCTCGCCCTTGCTGCTTTTTCCGCTTCAAGTTCCTCTTTGCATCGTTGACTTTTCAAAGTGCCTCACAGTAATTCGTTACTTCAGCGTGAACACTACAGCCCTTCTCTAGGTGCGCTTTTGAATCCCTCCACCCACGGTCCCCCAGCCATCACATTCCCCCACCCCACCCCCTCGTCGCCAACCCAACCCCCCACGCCGCCTGAAGCAGCAACCTGCGCCACGGCTGGCGCGCGCGGACGGGCGGCGCACCTGTTTTTGATGTCGGCCTCGCGACGGCCGAGGCGCGGCGTGTCGACGGTGAGCGCGATGGCCTTGAACCCCGCCCGCTCCGCGCGCCGCACCAGCTGCTCCACCACCTGCCGGTCCTTGTACACCTGGGGGGGGGCATGGGGGGAGGGGGTGAGGGGGGTGGGGGAGTGTGAGGGGCGGGAGGTTGCGGGGCACATAGCCATGGCGGGGCACATAGCAGCAGGAGCAAGCTGGAGACGAAGCAGGCGGCAGCGCAACGCAATGCGGAAAACAATACTGCCTGCCGGCTACTGGCGGAAGGTAGAGCGCGCGGCACTCACGTAGAGCTGGAAGAAGCGCAGACCCGGACCCACCGACGCCACCTCCTCCACGCTGCTCGTCGCCCACGACGACAGCACCTGCTCGCCCCAGGGGGAGGGAGCGCGGTGAAATGGGCGACGGGAGGGGAATGGGGGAGAGAGGAGGGGAAGCAGGCGCAGGAGAGGAAAACGAGGGGGGGAAGAGAGGCAAGAGTGAAATAGAGAAGAGGAGGCAGGGAACACTGGTGGCGGTAAGATGAAGACTAGCAATTGCGCATTTCCGGCAGCGCCCCGTTCTACACATCACCGCACTGCACGGCACGTGAATTCCACCTTCAAAGCGGACCAACGGATTTACACGTCACTGCTGCTCGAAGCACCTATCGCGCTTCCATTATTTCCGGCGCTACCTCCAAGATACCATTGTTCCAGCTTACTATGGCTCCGGCTTACCATGGCCGTGTCGAATTTAGCTGCCGCGCGGGCCGTGGCGAGCTCGCCTGCAGGAAGAAAGCGGCGGAGGACAGGGCAGCGGATATGACAGGTGAATAGCTGCACACTGACGGATGTGGCGTTCGTTTCGTGGTTGTTACACTACGCGAGAAAACGAACAAAATTTCCGCATCACATTGCGAGAGAGGAGCGGCGGGCGGCGCGCACCTTCGGGGTGCGCCATGCGCTGGAAGGCGGTGGGCGCGAGCATGATGGGCATGGAGATGCGGTGGCCCAGCACGCTCGTCGTCGTGTCCACGCTCGACACGTCGATCAGAATCCGCGGCCGGAACCTGCAGTCGGGACATGTTCAGGCATGCACGGCGGCACAGCCGGAGTGTGAACGTTAGCATCATCAACACTGCCAGCCGTCGGAATCAGCTCATCAGTTGCTCGTTTCGGCATGCTTTTAACGGAAGGGGAATTCGACGGAACAAACAGCCAGGCCTAACAGGGAGCCGCGACGTGAGGCTGAGGGGCGGCACCTGATGCGCTCGAAGGCGTTGCGGTTCTCGGCGAGCGTCCATTGGTCCTCGGCGCCCGACGCGTAGTAGTCGTACGCCTGCTTGGGCAGCTTCTCCTTGGCCAGGCACTGGAACTCCGAGATGTTCGTCACCGTGTTCGACGGATTGCTGGCAGGCGCCGCCATTGCCTCTCCTTTCGAGCTGGTCTGCAGCGCTCAAGTGAAGTTTAGCTGAAAGCAACCTTAGCGATTCCCGTCAGACGCGGCAGCGAAGCGACCGAGCGAGAGGTGCAGGAGTTGCCAAGGTCGTTTGGGACAGTGGCAGCGGATTGACTGCTCGCAGCAACAGCACGAGTGGTTCGATCGGAGCGGGCTGCAGGAAGAGCCTTGGAAATGGGTGGTGTGGTCGAATTGCAAGGACTGAGATGCGCGCACAGTGGGTGTGGGCGCCATGGGGAAGAGTGGCGGAAGCGCCGAGCGGGGAGTGGCGGATAAGATGAGTTCTGGCTGGCGCTCTCCCACGTGGCACCGCTTCGCCCGGACCACTTTCAAGGCCACATGGGTCTCTCGTGGCGGGGAGACTTGCTTTGCGGTGCTGCGGACTGGCGCGGATGCATGCACCTCGGCTCGGCTAACCCCGATGGCCGTGGGAATTACTGTATCGAGGTGGATGAGAGGCTATCTGTTATGAGTTGTATGAAAGAAGAGCGCGCAGAATGCAATATCGCGGAAGTGATTACAACTACTGAGCAAACAACGAGGCCTAGGCATAATATAGCACAGCTAGCTAGCCGAGGTCGCGGAGTCGCGCGAAGGTTGGGTGCAGGTTTGGGGTTGGAAAACCCGAAGGCGACGCGGGAGACGTTCGGAAGGCGAGGTCGTCGGACCGAGCCTGAATTCCGAAAGTTGGAATTGTACGCGTAAGAGATGCCTCAGTAAGGAATTAGCGAAATTCCTTACACTACCCCCCCCCTTAAGAAAGGTGGTCGATATCAGGCACATGTCGGCGAGAAAGATACTGCCGAAGTACCGAGTGCCCTTGTAGTGAGTCAGCCGGGACCCACGTGTCATCTTCGCTTGTGCGATCCACCCAGCTTAGCAGGAAGTCGACGTGGCGTCCGGCGGGGGTCGCACGAATGCGATGGTTCAATATCTTCCAAGGTTGAAGCGTCGGATCTGCCACAGGTCGAACACTTGGTGCCTGGTGGGGTCGAGCGACGTTGGACGACTGTGGTGCCACGTAGTGGCGAAGTAAACTGACGTGGAAAGCATCGTGGATTTTCCAGTCGTCCGGTAGGAGAAGTTTCGCAGTGACCGGTGTCAGCATCCGAATGATGCGAAAGGGTCCCACGTAGCGGGGACGCAGTTTTGCAGGCTGGGGCAGCTTGAGGTTTTTTGTGTCCAGGAGGACCATCTGCCCGTCACGGAAGGGTAAATTCCGTCGATGTCGGTCGGCGTAGCGGCTGGCGGCCGTGTTAGCTTTCCGGATAAATTCCGCTGCTTTATCGCGCGCTGCTTGTAGTTCCGAAACAAACTGCTGCGACCTTGGTACCGGGTTGTCGGGAGTCGTTGACGAGGATACGACCGGATCTATCCCGTAATTCAGGTAGAACGGCGACTGTTTGGTCGTTGCAGATGGGGCGTTATTGTACGCAAACTCGAGCATGGGAAGGGAGTCTTCCCACTTGGTGATGTCGGGGCAGTTCGTGCGAATCAACTGCTCCATTGTCTGGTTTGTCCTCTCTGTCTGTCCGTCGGTCTGTGGATGGTACGACGACGAAAACTGCAGGCGGGTGCCGTACTGTGCCCACGTCTCCTGCCAGAACTTCGACGTGAATTTGGGGTCGCGGTCGCTGATTATCGCCGATGGCAACCCGTGTAGTCGTACGACGGTCGAGATGAAGAGCTTCGCTGTTTCTTCGGCTGTGATCGTCGTGCGGCATGGTGCGAAATGCGCCATTTTCGTTAAGCGATCGACGACGACAAGTACCGAGTCGTTGCCACTTGCGCCAGCTGGCAGTCCCGTGACGAAATCCATTGTCACCTGTTGCCACGGTGTCAGAACATTATAGCTCGTGCATATTGTGTAGGCTATAATGGGGTAGTCCATAAGGGGTACAACCCAATTAGGGTTAGTACTTGTACCCAATTCATTCATAGTTCATTCATCCCTTGTTTCTTTTCATGGTATCGAGCAGGTTCCCTAACGGGAACGATTCCTAGGGCCCACCACTACGAGTTTTTTTTTTCCTGCCCGGAGCGCGCTTCGCTCCGGCCCGAGTCGCGCCCGGTGTGCTCTCATCACCGTCGCGCCCTCACTAGGCCCCTCACGGCCCCCTAGCGCCGCCCTTAGCGGGCCCGTCGCACTGCCCTTCGCGGCCGCGTCGCGCCACCCTTTCGCGGCCCAGTCGCGCCGCCCTTCGCGGCCGCGTCGCGCCGCCCTTTCGCGGCCCCGTCGCGCCGCCCCTTTCGCGGCCCCGTCGCCGCCCTACCTGCGGCCTCGTCGCCGCCCCTTTCGGCGGCCCCGTCGCCGCCCTACCTGCGGCCTCGTCGCCGCCCTACCTACGGCCCCGTCGCCGCCCTACCTGCGGCCCCGTCGCCGCCCTACCTGCGGCCCCGTCGCCGCCCTACCTGCGGCCCCGTCGTCGCCCTCCCCTGCAGCGGCCTCGGTGCCTACTCCTACGGCCCCGACCCCTGCTCCTACGACCCCGGCGCCTACTCCTACGGCCCCGGCGCCGCCCTTCCCGGCTCCGACGCCGCCTCCCACCGGCCCCTCCGCCGTCCCTGATCAGGAGCCGCAGCCGCCAAGCCGCCCAGCGACCGAGCCGCCGGGCCGCCGAACCGCCCAGCAGCCGAGCCGCCGGGCCGCTGAGCCGCCGGGCCGCCGAGCCGCTCTGCTGCCGAGCCACCCGAGCCGCTGAGCCGCCCTGCCGCCGAGCCACCCGAGCCGCCCAGCAGCCGAGCCGCCCAGCAGCCGAGCCGCCCAGCAGCCGAGCCGCCCAGCAGCCGAGCCGCCCAGCCGCCGAGCAGCCCAGCAGCCGAGCCGCCGAGCCGCCGAGCAGCCGAGTCGCCGAGCCGCCCTGCAGCCGAGCCGCCCAGCCGCCGAGTCGCCGAGCCGCCCTGCAGCCGAGCCGCCCGAGCCGCCCTGTCCGGTAAGAGCAGCGCCTCTCTCACAGCACTGCCCTCACCCTACTGTTTGCGCTACTAGTCTACTGCTGTCATGGCTACCCCTAGTGTCCTCGCTTTTGACTCTGAGGGTCGGGCCATTGACTTTGAAGTCTGGATAGATGACCTGCAGCTTTTCTTACAGTGCGATAGGGCAGACGGCCTCTCCCTCTTTGACCTCACTTCTGGTGCCTCTCCTGCCCCCGCTGCTGATGCTGACGCCACTGTTCGCTCACAGTGGGCCACGCGCGATGCTGCTGCACGTCTTGCTGTGCGTCGCCACCTGCCTACCTCTGAGCGTGCGCACTTTAGCCAGTACAAGAGTGCTCAGACCTTGTACGACGCTGTAGTTGCACGCTACTCCTCCCCTGCCACTGCTGCACTGAGCCGCCTCATGCTACCGTACCTCTTCCCTGACCTTGCTGCCTTTCCCACAGTCGCTGACCTCATTACGCACCTCCGCACTAGTGACACTCGCTACCGCGCTGCGCTTCCTGCTGAGTTCTGCGCCAAGAACCCCCCCCCCATGTACATCACCCTCTACTACATAGTCACCCGTCTCCCTGACTCCCTTCGCGTAGTCAGGGACCACTTCCTCTCGGTTTGCCCCACCACTCTCACTGTTGACCTCCTCGAGAAGGCCCTCCTAGCAGCAGAAAAGAGCATAGTCGCTGTAGGAGCCTCTCGTGGTGACCCTCGCACCCCCATCTTTGAGGGGTGTTCCCCCTCCCCTCTTTTGCCCTCTGTTGCCTCTGTTGCTGCGGCCGACCTCGCTGGTTTGGAGTCGGTTGGGGCAGCGTCTACCCCTAGCGGGAGACGCCGCCCTGGCAAGGGCAAGGGGGGCAGGGGCGCTGGAGGAGCTAGCGGGGGCGGTGGAGGCGGCGGTGGGGGCGGTGGAGGGGGTGGGGGTGGCGGTGGGGGTGGTGGCGGGGGTGGAGGTGTCGGTGGCGGCAGTGGAGGCGGAGGCGGCAGCGGCGGTGGCGGAGGGAGCGGAGGTGGCGGCGGTGGAGGAGGAGGCGGCGGAGGAGGTGGAGCTGGTCGGGATGGTGCTGCGCAGAGGGTCGGCTCCGGTGGTGGTCAGCGCCAGCAGCAGCAGCAGCAGCGCACTCGTGACATCCCCTCCCCTCAGCAGCTCCGTGAGTGGTACACTGCACGCCAGAGGGGTGGGGGTACTGGTCCGTGCACCTACGTCCTGCGCACCGGCGACCGCGCGGGTGAGCAGTGCGGGGGTGCGCACTCCACCCAGCGCTGCTTTGGCCGCCTGACGGACGCTTGGCGTCACCAGTTCCCTGAGGCCACTGAGATCCCCCGCTGGGGTGAGCTGTCTAGGGCGGGTGTAGCTGTCTTTGACCTTGACTTTGATGCTATTCTTGCTGCCATGTATATTGTGACTATTAGTGATGAGGGTGACTGTTACCGGTGTTTTCCGCCCGACCCGGGCATTGAGACTGCTGCTCTAGGTACTGGTGAGGCTGCTGCTCTAGGTGCTAGCGAGGCTGCTGCTCTAGGTGCGTCTGCTCCCTCAGGTGCTGGTGAGTCTGCTCTCTCAGGTTCTGCGTCGGCTTCGGCCTCCCACACCTTCACCCTTGACTCGGGGGCTTCTCGCTCCTTCTTTCGAGACCGCACCACACTCACGCCGCTTGGCCGGCCAGTTGCGGTCTCTCTGGCAGACCCCTCTGGGGGTCCTGTCCTTGCTCACTTCTCCACTGTCCTCCCGTGTCCGGCGGCCCCCTCTGGCACCCTGTCTGGTCTTTACCTCCCCTCGTTCTCTACGAACTTGGTGAGTGGTGCTGACCTACAGGATGCGGGGGTTCACCAGTTCACTCCTGCGAGTCAGCGGGTGACCCACTGCACGGACGCTCGGACAGGCCGACACCTGGCCACGTTTACACGTCGGCCAGGGTCGAGCCTGTACACACTGACCACTGCGTCTCCTCCAGTCCCTGCGTCTGGTCAGGTAGCTGCGTCGGGTCAGGTGTTTGCTGCAGCGTCCAGGTCTGGTCCTGAGTCTGCCCCCTGCT